TAATGGAATGCATGTTGCTACACTACAACTAGCAGACTAATAACTCATAGAGCCTCTGTACTGCTGAATTCCTTGTTTCTTGGTGGCTTTCAGCTAAGTGCTGGCTGGCTGTGGAACAAGTTCAAGGGTCATATCTCAATATTGGCCTTCCAGTGTTGGTCTGACAAGATCTCAGTTACTGTTTCTTGAAATGAAGGAAAACCATATTCCCTGATCTTTTGGTACACAGCAGGACAAGAAGAAAGATACAGAGAAATAGTACCTAAGCTTTGTGCAATCATTAGTTCGTTAGGTTTGTTCATTTCGCATGGACACTTAAGTAGTTCCAAAAATTGGGTTGGTTAGGTGTTTTGAGCTCTGATTCTGCATTGCAGCTACATCCAGAGTGCATTTCAAGATAGTGACCTTCGATTGCACTGTAGCTATTAGACACTGTGTTATGGTGTCTGCTCTCTTGCTTTTGCCATGTAATCCTACAGTGAGTCATCGAGGCAAGTAGGTGGTGTGGTGGAGGCGATTTATGCAGAAGACACTGGTTTATCTGCGCTATTTATCAGTTCTCCAGACACTGCAATGCAAACAAACACTTTCCAAAATATAAATAAAGGGAATGAAAAAAAAAAAAACCTCATTCAGAAACCACCTTTTAAACTTCAGGAATAGGAGACAGTGGTTTAGCAGAATTTCACCAAGGATCTCTCTGAAATTTCAGCAAAGACAGCCATCTATTAAAGCAAGGGGTGCAGAGGCTTAGAGAGGAAGTTCATACAGGGCTTTGCAATGAAGAAGAATCTGGAGATTTAGGATTTTTCACCCTGTAAAGCTCTTGTTAGTGATTCCCACTGCATGAAAGGAAATGCTCCATTCAGAGACAATCACCCACCAATTTGCATTGTAGTTTCAGCTGATATCAGAAAGAAGTGAGAGGCTGCCTAGGTGGGTTACCAAGAGAGATGGCAGCAAGCATTCAGTTCAGCCCGTTGCTGCCTCTTAGAAGCATCTTGGAAAAGTGAGACAGATAACTCTAGGGAAGCTGAATAATTCCCCACTGCTTTTCCAGCTCTCAATGGTTATTTAGCCCTTAAACTTTGCTAAAATTGTTGTTACAACATATAAGCACCTAGTACATGAGTGGTCTTGGGCACAAAAATATGAATTAAAGACCTGAAAGCATTTACTCAGTTGTAGCATCTATGTCCTGTAACTCCCACTTCCCTTTCCCTAAGCTCCTTGTTAGCCCAGCTGTGGTTTTCTCGTGCCATCTGAATTATCCAGAGAATTACGCACAAATGTGTTCTTCATTTTTCACGTGTAACCCTTTTAAGACTCTCTGAGTTCAATAACTCGTTTTGATCCTTTTATATCTGCATAAAGCATCTGGGATATTTGTAACAAAAACGCAGACTAGTAGTAAAAAATAGCTTTTGAAAAATAAGATATTTTCCTCTGGAAAATGACTTTCACATCTCTTCCTAAAAAAGCTGGTTTGGTAGAAGAGATCACAAGAAGGGCAGAAAAATGTCTTTCCCTAGCCTTTAATCTTTTTTTCTTTCTTCCTGCAGATTTGTCAGATCTTGCTTGAAGATTTCTCTGTACCTGCAGTATTAAAGTCACCTGATGAATACCCATCTCCTTTCAGGACAGTTCAAGTGCTGTACTCAGATTCAGCCACTGCCATTTTGGTACTAACAAAGCTACCTTCAGGAATGTTCTAGAACATCTGTGGAGAAGCATTTGAATGCGTTTTTTCCTTAGGATCAGAAAAGGAGATAAAGACCGTTATGGTAGGTTGGATGTTCTTGGGCATTTCCAGGATAATGAGAGATGAGACAGGACATCATCTATCAGTGATAAGTTCTGAGTCTGTGCAAATATTTACAGATAGAATATTCAGAATAGTTTTGCTTCTTGTGAAAGAGTCTGAACAGTGAATACACCAGGTCCTGAAAGATGTTGTGTCATGGCAAATGCAAAAGCTCATGCCCCATGTTCCTGTATCTTCAATAATGCTCATTTGCCACTGAAGAAGGCAAACTGCTGTAGCTGTGACACTAACACTCACATTACCCTGTATTGAAGTAGAATTCTTCACTGGATAGACAGTGTTTAAATGAAAAAAAAAAACAAAAAACAAAAAACAAAAAAACTTCATTTCTTTCCCAAGACTGTTTGGCATCTTTAAAAATCATCAACCCACATCATCATCTTCTGTGCCTCCAAATATCACTGCTCCACTCCAATGCTCACCCAGAGTCCAGCTGTCCTGAGTACCATGGGAACCAACACTGGTCATTCATTTACAAAATGCCCCATGAATAAAACAAGGTCAGTCACGTGTTTCAAGATTTCCTCTTTTGAAACTGTCTAATATTACACTGCAAGTGATCAACCCCCAAATATTTTTACAGTGCCCTGCATGGAAAAAACAGGGCACACAGAAAATCAGTTTAACAGTGCTGTAGTTCATATTCTAGTGTATTACTTGCTGCAGTGTATTCTGACACACTTGCAGACCCCAAATAAAAAGGTATTAGGATTAGTACTGATGTCAGTACAAAAGACTGATCTACATGCAGTAAGTTTCCTTATAACATTTCCTACCTAAGAAGAAAGAAATAGGAAAGTAATTTAGCATTTATACCCCATTGCTACAACTTCAGTTAAAAAAGGAACAAGATGATGTTAATGTTTTCATGCCCCAGTAACTCTGAATAGACATCAGGTCTTCTAAAGACATTTCCATTTCCCATTCGTAGAACATCATACTATTTCAGGATACCACTTAACATTGCCAGAGTGTTCACTTTTCTGCATTTGCACTGTTGAGTATTATGTTCAGAATTAAGCCCTCAGTACTACAGGAAAATGCTTTCTCGAGTGACAATGCCTGTATACTGAATTCTGTTTTGTAAACAAAAAAATCTTAGTACAAATAAGCACATTAAATTAAGAACTTCTCATAGCAAATATGAGCAGCAGAATAGGGCATCATTCCAATCCTTTTTCTAGATTTACACTGAGTTCAGATGTTTTCATAGCTCTTTCTGCTTGAAAAACACCCCATTCTTAAAAAAAGAGGATCAATAAAAAACTGTTTTTTTTTTTTTTTTTTTTTTTTTTTTTTTTTTTTTTTTCTTTTTTTTAAATCAGTGGCTATGATCAAGCAAGTAGAATTTCCTTCTAGGAGGTGACCTGTGGGAGCCAAACAGGACTTGTTCACCCTATTACATTCAGATTTCAGCTAAGCCAATGCAAGAATGGAAGCTACAAACAATTTGCCTACTTCAAACACTGGCAAAGGAAGAAAAACAGAAGTCAGGTTGCATTTGCCTAAAATCACCATTTATAAAAATAAAAGTACCCACATTTATCTGATTCTTCCTATGCAAAAACAAAAAAAAATTACCCATAACTCGAAGATGATCAATAGCCCTGTTCCTGGTTGCAACATAAGCATTTGCAAGAAATGTTTTTTTGTGTGTGTGTTTTTCTCTTTTTTTTTTTTTCTCCAAAAAAAAGAAAACATTTCCAAAAGGAAGATTCCCACAAGGAGATCTGATTTTATTTTTTTTTTCCAGTCTCTCTCCTGCAGAATCTAATGTTGTAGGCTCACAAACAGTATGCTGCTCAGGTTGGAATTTCATTTTACAATTCATTGACGGGATAGGCTACAGCGGGTTACTTGGACATTTAGTTGAAGTAGCTAAGCACATCACTTAGCACAAGCATAAGTCTCTAGACAGCTTCTTTGGGATAGGAGTGGTAACCTTCAAATTATGTTACAGCACCCCAGGGTACAGACAGATGCATGATTCCTGTTCTTGCAAAGATATGCCAAACTTCCAGAAGTTGTTCTACCAAGAACATAACACTTATTGAAGGCAGTACAAGAATTAATTAAAAAAATCTATTAGGAAAAGCATAAGACTCCAGCAAGAGAATAGATATCATGACATCCCAACCATCTACCCATTTTCTTATTTAAGAACTGAATAATAAGAGCTGTTCCAAAAGCTTGTCACAGATTTCAAAATGTTTGTTGAAGACATTAGTTATTTAAATAGTCATTTACTTCAGCTGAGCATAAGTAGCAAGTTGTTCTGTCAGAGGATAAAGCATTGCTTATGTGCAAGATACTGTTCATTTTTCTTGCTTGCCCTTTGCTCCAGTGGTCATAAACAAATGAAAACACAATAAAACTAAGAATATCCCTTGGGAACTATTCAAGACACAATATATGATGTAGTCCCACAAGCAATCAGAGTAGCCATTCTTAAAAGTCATTAGCTAAATTTGCAACCATCCGCTACTTTAAGGAAGTTTTACAGAGATAAGTGAGATTGCACTGGTCAGCTACAGTAACATCAGCAAATTCAAGGCAACCACATACTGTATGTTTCCATGACTGATACCTCAGGGAAGTTCAAGGTGCTCGTTCAGCTGACATTTTGGAGTGTCTCCTCTTGCTATCTAATCTAAACTATCTCTAATCTATCATTACTCCAGCCTATATTAACACCTACCACAAAACAAAAGCTATAAACGAATTGCACTGGTTATAAAAGTGTTGCAACACATGCAGTTCCCTCTTTACAAACCCTGATGTGATGAAAAATCTCAGAGGAAAGAAGAGGGCATGGTGTAAGCACCAGCAGGCACAGCTTGTATCTACACCTTGTATGTGTCATGCCAATGCAGCTGCTGGGACTGCCCTGACTTAACAGCCACAGTACCTCACACAGACAGCTCACCATCCAGATGATGAAAAAGTAGCAGTCTCTTGAGCTCTCACTAGAGTACTCAGAAGACTCTGAAAACATTATTAAAGAATCGACTGTAAGTTATTCCCTTCACTGGCAGGGAAAATGACTTTGGCTTGCCTACACACGACAGCAAAGCCTCTCCTGCATTTCTCATCAGTCTTACACTTGACCCACAGCATGTTATATGAGTAAATAGACACAGAGCTAAGGAAACAGTTGATATAAATGCAAGCTTACCAGCTGGTGCTGAACAGGAGCAGTGAAGTTGAAACCCACAATACTCGGCACAGAACTCACTCAATTTGCCTTCCTTAAAATCTGACTTGGAATCCTTTTTGCTCTCACTCTCATCCGAAGCAAGTTTATCCAGTTCAATTATCACAGCTGACATTGCAAGAGTCTCAGCTTAACCCAAAATTAAAATAAAGCTCAATTAAAGAAGCCACCTTAAGTTCAGTTTTCCCAAGCTTGCGGTCTGGGGAAAAAAATAACTTCCTATAGTAAAAATAATAGTGCAAAATGCTTTTAACTCTCTTATCTGAGGAACCGTATTTTCATGAAGCTGCTCTTCCAGCTCTGCAGCATTTGCTAAGCATTGCAGCTCTTCTCTAAGGTGGGTAACTAGTTTCAAAAGTTCTTCTGCTCTTGGAGTAACAGCAATATTACAGAATTTCTGCAGAACTCGTACAAAAATAGGAAGGGTAAGTGGAGACATCTGTAACTCCACGAATTTCTGGACTAACTTTAGAAGCCTGACACCCATCTCGCTCCCCACTGGTCCAGCTGGGAGGGGCTAAGCCATACCAATGAAAACAAGTGCAGCTGCCTGGGGAAGTTCCTCTGGCCACACTTGGGTTTCCCTGGTGCTTGCTCAGGTCTCGATCTGGGATGTGTGGTAAGCTACATACACAGTTACACTGCTCCTCAAAAACAGGAAGGAATAGCTCTTGGTTTCTCTGTTCCATACTTTAGAGCCTTGATTATTTTTTTCTCCCCCTAAAGAAACCACTTTTAGTAATATTAAGAAAACTACTGGTCCCCATCCTTGAAACATTTGATTTTTGCTGGTTTTATTTTTTTCTCTTTTTTTTTTTTTTTCCCCCTTTTG